TCAGGATCTAGCTGCCATGTTGGTCTGTACTGCCACTGCTGCATGTGCAGGATCTAGCTGCCATGTTGGTCTGTACTGCCACTGCTGCATGTTCAGGATCTAGCTGCCATGTTGGTCTGTACTGCCACTGCTGCATGTTCAGGATCTAGCTGCCGTGTTGGTCTGTACTGCCACTGCTGCATGTTCAGGATCTAGCTGCCGTGTTGGTCTGTACTGCCACTGCTGCATGTTCAGGATCTAGCTGCCGTGTTGGTCTGTACTGCCACTGCTGCATGTTCAGGATCTAGCTGCCATGTTGGTCTGTACTGCCACTGCTGCATGTTCAGGATCTAGCTGCCATGTTGGTCTGTACTGCCACTGCTGCATGTTCAGGATCTAGCTGCCATGTTGGTCTGTACTGCCACTGCTGCATGTTCAGGATCTAGCTGCCATGTTGGTCTGTACTGCCACTGCTGCATGTTCAGGATCTAGCTGCCATGTTGGTCTGTACTGCCACTGCTGCATGTTCAGGATCTAGCTGCCATGTTGGTCTGTACTGCCACTGCTGCATGTGCAGGATCTAGCTGCCATGTTGGTCTGTACTGCCACTGCTGCATGTGCAGGATCTAGCTGCCATGTTGGTCTGTACTGCCACTGCTGCATGTTCAGGATCTAGCTGCCATGTTGGTCTGTACTGCCACTGCTGCATGTTCAGAATCTAGCTGCCATGTTGGTCTGTACTGCCACTGCTGCATGTTCAGGATCTAGCTGCCATGTTGGTCTGTACTGCCACTGCTGCATGTTCAGGATCTAGCTGCCATGTTGGTCTGTACTGCCACTGCTGCATGTTCAGGATCTAGCTGCCATGTTGGTCTGTACTGCCACTGCTGCATGTTCAGGATCTAGCTGCCATGTTGGTCTGTACTGCCACTGCTGCATGTGCAGGATCTAGCTGCCATGTTGGTCTGTACTGCCACTGCTGCATGTTCAGGATCTAGCTGCCATGTTGGTCTGTACTGCCACTGCTGCATGTGCAGGATCTAGCTGCCATGTTGGTCTGTACTGCCACTGCTGCATGTTCAGGATCTAGCTGCCATGTTGGTCTGTACTGCCACTGCTGCATGTTCAGGATCTAGCTGCCATGTTGGTCTGTACTGCCACTGCTGCATGTTCAGGATCTAGCTGCCATGTTGGTCTGTACTGCCACTGCTGCATGTTCAGGATCTAGCTGCCGTGTTGGTCTGTACTGCCACTGCTGCATGTTCAGGATCTAGCTGCCGTGTTGGTCTGTACTGCCACTGCTGCATGTTCAGGATCTAGCTGCCATGTTGGTCTGTACTGCCACTGCTGCATGTTCAGGATCTAGCTGCCATGTTGGTCTGTACTGCCACTGCTGCATGTTCAGGATCTAGCTGCCATGTTGGTCTGTACTGCCACTGCTGCATGTTCAGGATCTAGCTGCCATGTTGGTCTGTACTGCCACTGCTGCATGTTCAGGATCTAGCTGCCATGTTGGAATTATGGCAGCAAGATCCCATGCATGCCTTCTACTCTACCATCCTCCTGCTCTCACCACCCTAATTCCTCCCTCTTTCCACTTCTACGTCGACCCAGTCTGAGCCCACTTACTTACAACTCTGATATATGCCCACCCCCCACTTACCACACTGTTGCACAACCCCCGCTCATAACACTTTGCTGTCCCCGCTCTCTCACCACTCTGTCACACAACCCAAGCCCCCCCATAATCCACCCCACATCTCATGTACCAGCACAATTACACCCCCACCGCCCTCCCCTGAATAGGACTATGCCTGTACACCCCCCTCCCCAATGCACCGGCTTTCTTTACCAGTGATGAGACTATTCTCCCCCACCCCCCAATCCTGAACCTGGTTCTTAAATGGGCACAATTTTGCTAGATTTATATTATAGAGGTTGCAACATAAGGTGCTATATCAGGAAAAAGGAGGATGAGAACACGCTATATGCTCACAGGTACCCATACGTATGTAACTTAAAACAAAAAGGAAAAATTCTTTAGTACACAGAGGAGAAACAAAGGGGGCAGCTCAACAGAACATTTTAAGGCATAAAAGAATGACATATCTGAAACATTATTATAGCTTTTTTTGGCATCAATATTAAGAGCCTTACTTTTCCAGAGGACAAGAGTGTTCCTTTTTTTTTTAATTAAAAAAAACACCATCAATGAGGGTGTAATAAAGTTTAAAATAAGTAACAAGACAGATTTATGAGAATGGGTTGACTAAGAAGAAAGTCACCTTTCTGTATAGGAGCCTGAACCACTACATTTATTCAATTTAATGACATTTGGCTAAATTGTCTAAATGATATTGTATTACAATAAATTGGATCTGGGCAATATGTAATAAACGTAAAATGAGCTTTGGAACAGATGTGATCACCACACATGACTTCATTTTCCATACTGTGTGTTTGATACCCAGGACTTATTTTCAATAATATACACACACATATCTATCTATATATATTTATATTTATATACACACACATATACACATACACATAAACTTAGTGCAGAATAAACATGAAATGCTTAAAATGTGACCCCTTTAGGATTTCCTTCATTAATCCCACCACTAGCAGCAGAATTGACAAAGAAATGAAGTTATCCTTTAACTAGTGCACTACTCAACTAACCTAACCATGTGTTTCAGCTATATGATGTATAGTAACAGAACTATTAATGGATAACCCACCTAGGTACAGGTGAGGGGTTATATATAAATAGTATATGGATCACTCTTTAAAGCATGGGTGCTCAACCTTTTGAACAGCAAGGGCCACTAAAGTGGTTCAGTAACCGGTCGTGGGCCGCAATGAAATGAAATGGTTCAGAATTTTGAATAGAATAATGAACATTTTTCTCCTGTAGCCACTGAATGTCTGTAGGAGGGAGAGGATTTCAGTAGTTGCATGGAGAGGATCAGTTTCTGTATATGCCGCACCCCTGTCCAATTGTAAAACAGAATGTGACAGGGAGGCTGCACGGGCCCCATGGAGCATGGGTAGGGATTGCCATTGCGACCCCTGAGGCAACACCAGTGACGTGTGTGTGTGTGTGTGTGTGTGTGTGTGTGTGTGTGTGTGCGTGCGTGCGTGTGTCAAAAACACATCTCAACTATGGGTTTTACCCCCCCCCCCCCAAATGTAAACAAGCCCTCACTGTTCTGAGCCCCCTTAACCACTTCCCGTCTGCCCTATAGCAGAAGTACTGCTACAGGGCAGCACAGGTGCACAAAATCACACACACACATATATATATATATATATATATATATATATATATATATATACGCGATTTTGCATTTCAAGGTAGTTTGTGGCCACAACTGTCAATCACCGGGTACCAGCCAGTGATTACCGAGCATATCCAACTGGGGGGGAGAACTGTTAGTAAAGAAAACAGTTCTCTCCTCTGTCAACTCCTGCACACTGCTTTGCATGGCTGTGCATAGCAGAGCCATGTAAAGCAGCGTGCTTACAGTGAAGCACACACACACACACAGCACACTGTGAAACAGCACACAGTTAACCCTTTGATTGCCCCACAAGTTAACCCCTTCCTGCCCAGTACTATTAGTACGGTGCAAGTGCTTTTTATTAGCACTAATCACTGTATTGGTGTCACTGGGGATGTCAGTGACACCAAGTCAGTTCTCACCCATGTTAGAATGCCCGCCGCAGTCCCACTATAAATCACTGATCGCCGCCATTACTAGTAAAAAAAACCCCAAAAACCAGTATCATTTGTAAATGCTATAACTTTCATGTAAACCAATTAATTTACACATATTGGGATTTTTTTTAAGCAAAGACATGTCACAGAATACATTTGGGTCTAAATTTATGACTACATCTCTCCTCCTCTTCGACTCTCCGAGATATGTGTTGCACTGTAGTGGAGTTGAGCCTAGCTCCCCTGACTCATTTTCATTTTGGCTTGTCCGTCGGTTGGGCCCTGCGGTCCGTGCCAGGATGCGGGTGGCTGGGTCGTGGGGAGCCACCTTGATTCTGCTTTCTGTTGTTTCTGTCTCCCAACCCCCTCTCTTCTCCTCCTTCACTATCCTTACTACTGGCTTCCTTTTTTTTTTTTTCTTCTTTTCCCTTCTCTTTCTCAGTTTGGGTTTACACTCCTGGTTGTATGGGAGTTCTCTCATCTTGTTCCATACATTTCGCCCAGGGATACCCCCCTGTAACTATGTCTTGTCATATCTCCGTAATATGGGTTATTGATCCTTCCCTCTTGCTGTTATATATCATCATTTTCTTCCATCCACATGGATCATAGCCACACCTGTGATGTTTTTCTGTTTACTTGTACATGTTATTTATATTTCTCATGCTTTGTTCTGTTAAATTTGTGTAAAAATAATAAAGACAAATTTGCCTTTAAATTTATGACTAAATTTTATTATTTTATTTTTTTATACTGGACATGTTTAACCTCCCTAGCGGTCTGATTATGTCCATATTTCTGTGCTCAAAGCGGTACATTTTTTTGCATGGAAATATGTATTTTTTTTATTGTAGTCCTGTAATTTTTAGGAATAACTCACTGAAATCTGTCTGAACAAGAGTCTAGTAAACATCCAGGGTATGTTAAAATTTGAAACACAAAATCATAAATTATAATTTAATAAATAATCATAAAAAATAATAATATAATAATAATAAATTTAATTCAATAATATAATCAAACCAAAAACACTGAAATTTGAAATAGAGCGCCAAGTTCGCACATCACTGAGCAAAGTCACAAAATCGTTTTCAGTGTCTGATGACGAATTTCCCCACGAATCATTATCACTCAATTTTGCAAGTAGTTCTAATTTACTATCGCTGTTCTCTAGCTGGTCTAAAACCGATTTTGACCTAAAGGGACGCTTTTTGGACGCCGTGGACGTTTCTCAGTTTCCAGTCAGAAAGAACAGTAAAAATGCAGGCAGGGCACAGGACAAAGCACTCGGGACAAAATGTATGTGAAATGCTTTGATATAGTAATGTTATACTATGTGATTTTAGTGAATTTAGTGAATGTCACTTTTTGTAATTTTCAAATTTCCCGCCGGTTGCAGAAGACAGATGCCGGCATCTACCGGAGGACATTGCCGGGGACACTGCAGGAGGGACATTGCAGGAGCGCAGGACAAGGTAAGAGAAGAACAGATCCCGGAGCAGCGCCGCATGGTAAGCCCGAGTGTAGCTCGGGGTTACCGCTTTTGGTACTGAAACTTTACCCCGAGCTACACTCGGGAATACCGCCAGGGAGGTTAATAGCAAAAAGCCCAAAATACTGTTTTTATTTCTCAAAATTGTCGGGTTTTTTTTTTTATAGTGCAAAAAAAATAAAAACCGTACAGGAGATCAAATACCACTGAAAGAAAGCTCTATTTGTGGGGGAAAAAAGGACGTAAATTTCATTTGGGTTCAGCATTGTATGACCACGCAATTGTCAGTTAAAGTAACGCAGCGCCGTAACGCAAAAAATGGCCTAGTCAGGAAGAAGGGTAAATCCTCTGGAGGGTAAGTGGTTAAGGCTGCTTTCACACTGATATGCTGTGGTTTACCTGCACCATGGGTGCAGCACAAATTTCCTATGTGTCAGCTGCACTTTGCCATAGACTTCTATTATATCTTGCAGGTGTAATGCACTTTCTGAAAGCGCACCAAAATCCATGCATTCAGGAGATTTGGTGCGCTTTCAGAAAGTGCACCAAACCTGCAGGATTTAATGGAAGTGTGCTTCCCTCGATTAAGGTCCAATGAGCACATGTGGACCATGGCCCACAGGTAGAGCATCCTTGCTTTAAAGCCTTGTACACACGATGAGAAAAAGGGACAAAACATACCATTTTTTGTAGCAATCATCTGATAATCTGATCGTTAGTACACAGCTTTCGAGAGTCGACCACAACTGTTCATACAAAATTATCCCATGGGATAAAGAAAGATTTTCGTGAACTCAGCACAGTATTTGTCCATAAAAATTAGAGTGATCAAGAATGTTTAATTTTTAAATTTTTTTTTATTTAGTTCTAATGGTGGCAATTAGTGAGTGGTGGAGAAGGAAGAGCAGAAATTAAACACAAATTTGATGTTTAAGCCAAGTTCAGATGAGCTCCATGACTTATTTGATGTTGCAATTAACATCCTGTGTAGTACATTAACACCCATTTTACATGGGCGTTCAGTCTAGATCCCTCTGTCAGTTTTTCCAGACGAATCCAAACTGAACCACAATGTATGTCTATGGGTGGGTGGATGTAAATGGATGATCATCAGTTTACATCCGCCTACATCCATGTCAGTTCAGGTCTTTTTTTTTTTTAACTGAACACTCAATGTCCAAATCCATTAAAACAGAACAGAATGGATGTAGACAGATGTAAAGTGAATGGAACTGAACTGATATAAACTAATGTAAATTGAATTAATATAAACTGAATTGAAGTATAAACTGATGTAAACTTAACTGAACTGAAGATGGATGTGCAAACTGATGTAAAGTCAATCCGTCTCTTCTTTAAAAAAAAAACGTGACTGAAAGGATGATGTCTGTGTTACAGCAAGGCAACATTTCAGAGTCTTTCAGGACCCCTTCATCAGGTATGTGACCACAGTTCCAGCCGATGGTCGCTGCAGCACCCACTTATACACACAGCCATTTTTAGCGCAGGAACGTGTGCGTTTGGATTGTACACTTGCTAATCCATTTCTATGGCACTGTCTCAATAGGTGTGATTTCAAGTAGCACGATCTGAATATAGTCCATGCATTACGTTTTCACCACTTCGGTGCGATTTAACTCTCAAACTTTAATGTAAATGGCACTTGCGTCTATATGAGCCTTACTTTGAAGTTATGCCTTAAATGGGACCAAATTGCACCACTTTGAAATTGCATTTGGTGTGAACCAGGGGTCCTTTCACTCAGGCGTTCTGTTTTTTTCATCAGTTCAATCATGCTTTTTCAAAGGAAAAACAGATCAATTTTTCATTAGTTTACATCAGTTTTTACATCCACTACTAAAGCAAAAACAGATGCAAAAATGGACTGTTTGTCCATTTACATCCATTTTTTATCTGTTCTGTTTTTTTAACAGAACAAAAATAGGGCTTTGATCTGTTCCAAAAAACGAATGCGGATGTAAAGAGATGATCATCCAGTTTTTTTTCATAGAGATGCAGTGAAGTCTGTTTTTCATCCATCAATGGACAAATGGAACGCCTGTGTGAAAGAATCCTTAGATTTTACACCAGTAAGGTGTTACCCACTTCTGGTATGAAATTTATTGGAAACGGTGTCACCTGGATGGGGTGTGTATAATGACTTCACAAGGTAAGGTAAATTGAATAGATGGCAGGATGGATCAGAGGGGGGTGAGAGGCATGGAAGAATTATAGACTTTGCCCAAAGTTGGACTTTAATGACTGTATCTCTCTCTGGTTACACAAGTAGCATAACCGAATACTTAATAAACCTACAGCCAATCAGCTAGCAGGACTCTGCCAGGGCTCTATTAGAAAACCCAAAGAAGGTGAAAGCCGTGTTACTGTGGGAAGATGCTTATGACACTGGAAGCACTGTACATAAAATGCTAAAGTGCAGCTAATTAATTGTTAAGCCCCCTAACAGGCCAAACCAGCTCTCTCTCTAATCAAATGCCAAGTGTTTTGTAACAGCAGCACAAAAGACAGATTTGTCTTGCACAGAAAAAACAGAAATCGGAAGGATTAGACGTTAACCATGTCCAATCTCATAAATGCCAATAACAACAGATCAGACCTCAAGAAAGCAACAATTGGGTCTATTTGCAGAGGTAAAGGAACACTAATTTGAAATAGGGGGTCTTGTAACTTAAAGGGATTTTCCACTTTTTTTGAGAAGTAGACAAATGGCTTAGACCTATCAGCACAGGAGCCCCACCCCCACTTCCCCAATACCACACCCTTCCATGCAACAGAAGGCCATTGACTTATTGGTATGGCGAAATCTGCATACTCAGGCTGCCAATACATGGGCAGGTCTCTCATCACTGGTGGGAGATAAGAGAATTGCCTGTCATTAAAATGATTGGCCATTAGAGCTCAGACATACACAGCATTACCATTGTCACTAATATAGATACATGGTAACAATTCTCAAGCAGTGTTGATATAGCATGGAAGGGTACCCTACACACGTTGATATAAAAACAAATACTTGTATCATTCATATCCTACACACAGGCTACTAAAGCCAATACTTGTATCATTCATATCCTACACACAGGCTACTAAAGCCAATACGTGTATCATTCATATCCTATACACGGGCTAGTAAAACCAATACGTGTATCATCCATATCGTACACACAGGCTACTAAAGCCAATACTTGTATCATTCATATCCTACACACAGGCTACTAAAGCCAATACTTGTATCAACATCCTAATACTAACGCCAATGTATCATTCATATCCTACACACAGGCTACTAAAGCCAATACTTGTATCATTCATATCCTACACACAGGCTACTAAAGCCAATACTTGTATCATTCACATCCTACACACAGGCTACTAAAGCCAATACTTGTATCATTCATATCCAATACTTGTATCATTCATATCCTACACACAGGCTACTAAAGCCAAATCCTATACACGGGCTAGTAAAACCAATACTTGTATCATTCATATCGTACACACAGGCTACTAAAGCCAATACTTGTATCATTCATATCCTACACAGGCTACTAAAGCCAATACTTGTATCATTCACATCCTACACACAGGCTACTAAAGCCAATACTTGTATCATTCATATCCTACACACAGGCTACTAAAGCCAATACTTGTATCATTCACATCCTACACACAGGCTACTAAAGCCAATACTTGTATCATTCACATCCTACACACAGGCTACTAAAGCCAATACTTGTATCATTCATATCCTACACACAGGCTACTAACGCCAGTACTTGTATCATTCATATCCTACACACAGGCTACTAAAGCCAATACGTGTATCATTCATATCCTATACACGGGCTACTAAAACCAATACTTGTATCATTCATATCCTACACACAGGCTACTAAAGCCAATACTTGTATCATTCATATCCTACACACAGGCTACTAAAGCCAATACTTGTATCATTCACATCCTACACACAGGCTACTAACGCCAATACTTGTATCATTCATATCCTACACACAGGCTACTAAAGCCAATACTTGTATCATTCATATCCTACACACAGGCTACTAAAGCCAATACTTGTATCATTCACATCCTACACACAGGCTACTAAAGCCAATACTTGTATCATTCATATCCTACACACAGGCTACTAAAGCCAATACTTGTATCATTCATATCCTACACACAGGCTACTAAAGCCAATACTTGTATCATTCACATCCTACACACAGGCTACTAAAGCCAATACTTGTATCATTCATATCCTACACACAGGCTACTAAAGCCAATACGTATCATTCATATCCTACACACAGGCTACTAAAGCCAATACATCATTCACATCCTACACACAGGCTACTAAAGCCAATACGTGTATCATTCATACTTACACACAGTATCATTCATATCCTACACACAGGCTACTAAAGCCAATACGTGTATCATTCACATCCTACACACACTAGGCTACTCCTAACAGGCTACTAAAGCCAATACTTGTATCATTCATATCCTACACACAGGCTACTAAAGCCAATACTTCATTCATATCACTTTTGAACACATAGAAGCACCTACATGGTCCCATTTGATTTAGGACTAAATGTGAAAGTGGATTTTCTTGCATTTAAAGTCAGTATATACATAAAGAAAAACCTTAATGCAACTCTGAGGCAGCTCAAAGCCATGCTGAAAAATTTCAAACCTGCTCCTTGAGTGGCTAAAGGTAAATTGAAGCAATTGAGAATTATTTAAAGAAAAGTGAATGAAGCCGGCCACAGACAGTTCGAATTTCGGCTGGTTTAGCAAGGACTGACAGAGATTCAAACCAGGTATAGACAGACTGAATGTACCCAAGTTGATCGATCAATCAACTTGGGTACAACCAGCCTGTCAAACTTTACATGCGATTACTTATAACAGCTATTATAGCCACTAGCAGTAAGCACTGGTCTCCTGGTGGGACGCTCCCCCCCACCAGGAGAACACAATAGCTCCACTGGAGGGATTCCCCCATCAACACAGTCAGATTTAATGGAGGAAACAAGTGATTTTCTTTCCTGCAACCACAGGTTGCAGGAAAT